CAAATAGAACAATCATGAACATTGGCTGTAGCTGGTTTTAGTTTCTGGGAGGAAAAGTCTAATTCCCAATGAACATTCCAGTGGAGCTAGGACATGGTTCCTCCGGCAAAACATAGAAATACTATTATGTTTTGAACCCTGCATATGAGCAGGAAGGAATATATAAACTACTGGGACATTTTTCAAATGGAACTTTCAGTAGCTGATTCAGCTGGAATGTAATTTATGCTAATAAGTTCCTGGGTTTCAAAGTGACTTTTTCTTATCACACTAAAACCTTTTAATTTGGATACATATTCCTAAGTCCAGAATGGTAGAAAAAATCTCTATCAAAAGCCAGGGATACAACTGGCCCTGTGTAAAAAGGAAGGAAAAAAAATGAAATTATATTCCAGAATTTTGGAGGAGGGCAAGAAAGAAGTTCGATGTATGGCTTTTAAACAATTTCTTATGACATAGTTCTTGATTTCACACACCATTTACTGCAGGAAAAGTTTATCATAATTTTAATATGACTGCATAATTTGGGGATTTCAGTGTGACACAGAGTTGAGAGTGGAATGTAACTAGTTTCATTTAACTGTGGTGGAAGAAGGGAAAGTATACCAGATTGAGCCAAGAAGCTTGTGCTCTAGTTCCTATCTAGGTTATTTATACTAGTTATATTAGATGATCCCTTCACCATCTTTTTGGCATTAACATTCAATAAATTTGGATAAATTTTCTGAGTCCAATGGCTTTCAGAGTTATTCTTTACTGTGATCCACAATAAGAAGTATATTTTATATTATGACCTAGTTCACCTACCTTTATAGATTTGTATGTAAATGTTATATCTACATCTCTCTATACTAATATCACTCATAGTAAGATATGCTGGACATAAACCACACATCCATATCTGTGAAATGAAACAAAGTTTTATAACACAATATTTACCCTCCTTACCTCTGGTGCATTACGATATCTTTTATTCTATTTCATTAAGAAAAAGCTTGTCAATTTCCACTAAACTGACTTTATGACCCAGTTTGACAGCCACCTTAACACACACAATTGGAGGCAGTCATAATCACCTTAACCAGGCAGTCCTGCACTCGGAAGAACTGCCTCCAGTTGAATGCAGGTAACTGCATAACTCTGATTACTAAAAGAGAAATTTAAAAATTGTGTAAATACCAGTCCACATATTGAAGGAATATGCTCTAATTTTAGTGAAAAATTATGACACATTAAACAAAAACAATACCTAACCACAAGTACTCTCTATTAAGCTCTGCATAACCGAACTTTGGTTTTTCATTTTTCCATAAGCGAAATTACTTTTGAAACTTCTTCTCACCTGTTAGATTGGTTTTTAACTCTTCAAGCAAAGGAATCTAGTGTTTTGATAAATGAATCATCTTTTTTTAAAATTAATTTTTATTGGAGTATAGCTGCTTTACAATATGGTGTTAATCATCTTCTGTTTATAAACAACCCTTTTAAAAGTTCCTGTGGCTTTTGCCAGAGTATTTTAAAAGAGCCTTTGATTTTTTTTTAATATTAACTTTTAAAAGCACTGTTAATAATAAAACAATTATAGGGAATTCCCTGGTGGTCCCATGGTTAAGACTCTGTGCTTCTACTGCAGGGGGCCTGAGTTCGATTCCTAGTCAGAGAGCTAAAATTCTGCAGGCTGTGTGGTGCAGCCCAAAAAAATTATACAATGCTTTCCTTCCACTTTCCAAACCCATTTGGGGGAAGATACCATAACAAGATTTTAGTCCTTGCATCCTTTGCCCTGTCCTCTAATCCTCTGTCGCAGTTTTTGAGTTCAAGTGTTGGAATGCCAGGGATTTCTTGGTCTCAGACAGTACACAAGGATGTGTGGTAATAAGTGATTCATTTAGGTTCCTTCACACTACAGTCTAAGGGAGAGAAAATTGAGTCTAACTTCCCAAGCATTGTTCCCTTTGTGGCTTTAGTCACACATTGGTTATTTAGTTGCTAAGTTGTGTCTGACTCTTCGCAACCCCATGGACTGTGGCTCCTCAGGCTTTGTCCATGGGACTTCCCAGACAAGAACACTGGAGCAGCTTGCCATTTCCTTCTCCAGGGGATCTTCCTGACCCAGGGTTTGAAACTGTGTCTCCTGCACTGGCAGGCAGATTCTTTACCATGGAGCCACCAAGGGAAGCCCCTCTAGTCACACATACTTATGCATATAAGTGACAACCACAGATATTAAGGGTATTTCCAATGGTTCAACCATTAGGGAATATTTTATTTATATGAGAGACGTCCCCAAAAGATTTTCTTTAAAAGGTTACATTATTTTAAAAAACTCCTTAAACATTTATTTATTTGGCTGTGTTGGGTCATAGTTGCAACAATCAAGATCTTTCGTTGTGGCATGTCAGCTTTTCTAGGTGTGGCACCTGGGCTAAGCTGTCTTGCAGCATGTGGGAATCTTAGTTCCTCTAGGGATTGAACTTGCGTCCCCTGCATTGGAAAGTGGCTTCTTAACCACTAGACTACCAAGGAAGTCCCCAATAACTCCATTTCAGATAACATTTCTAAAATAGGATGTGGTTATGGTTTGCATATTTTAACAAAGGACAATCTCCATTTATTAGTTTATCATATATAATATATAAAGAACTTGCCAATATAAAAATTATACTTCATCTATTCTTACCCTTTCATACTACTTATACAGATTTATAACAAATTCTAAACATTCTGAGTGGGTTAAAACTTAGATATGGCTTATTTCTATTTACCTTTTATTAGACCTTTGTTTAACATAAACTTCATCTAGTGGCACCCAAAAGACCTGTGACTACTTGGGTGCCCTGTGAAGTTGGAGCACGTGGATGGCGGCATGGTCCATTTATTTGCCTTTGTGTTCGATCTGTATCTTGAAACTTTCTTAACCTTATCAACTTTTAAAAAATCATCACATTATCTGTGCTACTGAAAATTAACCTTCACCAGTAACACTTGGGATCAGTGGAAAAGATCCAGGTAATTCCATTTACAGGGCAACAATTTCAGGCTCTATGTTTACAGTTTTGGAACCTCTACCTGTCTCTCCCCCCCCATCTTTTTTTTTTTTTTTTTGCAATATGATATAAGCTAATCTTTCCAGTACATGCAAATATATATTACATTGTTGAAGAGCAATCAGAAGTTTTCTTCAGAAAAATCCATTTCTCAAGATATATTCCTATTAGTTTACTTTCCAATATCCAGGTAAGCACATCGTGCTATTCCTGAGGCTTTTTTTATATCTCCCACGCTGATCCAAATCAAACAGACCTTTAGAGGGTACTGACAATGACGTCTTCATTGAATATGATCGCTGCTAAGCTTCAGCTCCCTGTTTGCTCTGTAAGGCTGTGCCAAGATCTTGGCCTTTAGATGTTCCCAGAATCCCTGGAAACAGTTATTTGTTTCTAAGTGTTAGTCTTAGGATGGGCCTGCATCCACAACAAGATATGAGGATGAACAAAGCAGTGTGAATCTCCTACTGGGTTAGAATTTCTTTAGCATTTTACCATAGGGCTCAGAGCCAGTTAGAAGAACAGAATTTTAAGTATTACTCTACACTGGTGCTTTTACAAAATATACCAGAATTAAAACAGAATAAAAGGATTTGCTTTAATGGGATCCATTTTTTTCAATCTTTGGTGTTAACTTTTTTCTTAAATATTAAAAGTATTAATATTTCTAAATTCTGAGAGAGATTGATGGGAACTCTGAAAAATGACTCACGTTGTTTAACTTTCAAAATATGAATTTAAAAACTACTCTTCATATCCTAGTCTGATGTCTTAAAGAAATCAGCAGGATATCATACAATAATCCTAACGCTCAAAAAGAGCTTTATTTAAGTATCATAAAGGCTATAAACATCCTGGTTCTATCATTAGAAAGTACTAAGAATGCAGGCAGAAATAACATTTCGCTTCTATTAGAAGACTTCAAAATAGGACACAAGTCATTGATTCCCTTCTATTTTGGCTACATTTTGAATAATAGAACAAAAGCATTAAAAAAAAAAAAAAAGGATTCTTTGGAAAAACAAAGAGGAAAGTCAACAGCAAGAAGCAAGTATACCTCACATCAGCCGGAACAGGGCTGGGGAGGTTTGTTAGGGAACATGGAAGCCACTAGCCCCTTCTCCACTGGCCCTCTGGTGTGTGTGCCAGCCTTGGGGCTGCGCGGGAGGGCCCTGCAGCCTGTGGAGAGGCAGACAGTGCTTCTGGCTCCAACTTGCTCCTTAGGCCAAAGTCCAGGCAGAAGTTGGCCTTGTGGGGTTCCTGTCATCCTGCCAACCCATGGCACTCCAGGGACACTGCTAGGGGAATGCTGGCCAAATCCTCCATGAGAAGTCACCTCCTTCACATTCTCTTCCATGTCAGGGGTTAGACTGAAGGAAACCCCTTCTGTCAGATTTTATGGTGTTTGTGCACTAGCCCAGGAGAAGGAAGGGAAAGAAAAGAAAGCAAATGGTTTAACCTCACAAAATAGAAAGGAAAGAATTATTCAAAGTAGTTGATCTGGGAATGAAGCCCAACATCCCCAAATCTCAGCTCAGTTTGCTCTTTTTCCATTCACTGCTGGTTTTTAGAAATTTAAATAATTATGACCCCATCTACAGTGGGCCATCGTATCACTGCTTTCTCAAAGAGAGTGGTCCAAAGTCACTGTTGCACAAATACAGAATAATCTATGCACCATCTGACAACAGTCAATATGCAAAGCATATTCAGATGTATATGAGGAATCATAGTACAGATATTTAAAATGCAGATATTTTTCAAGAAGAGGCCCTCATTTGCCATACTTATGGCCATAAGTAGGAAATATTACTCCAAAACAAGATGTGTAGGTAAATGCTGAAATGAATATTTACATATTATTCCCTATACAGAATATAGATTTCAAAAACCAACATGATCATCTCACACACAGTGTCTTTTCTGAAAAAATAAAGACAGTGCATTTCCAGGGAATGAGTATATGAATTTTATTGCACTGCTTAAAAAGAAAAGTGGAAAAAAAAAAGAAAAGTAGAAATCATAATCTTACATAATTCTTTCAAATGGATCAACTGAGACAACTTCTCAATGCTTCCTTAAATTTTTACACCACAATGAACTCCAACAGGTTTTTTGTTTTAAGGTAAACCAGGTTTTTGGTTCTTCCCTGTGGAGAAGTTACTTTCAAGTCAGTGAAAGTTCTTGGCCCATGATTAAAAGTCTTTGCCAATTAGTACTCAACAACTTCAATTCATTTTTTTCTGGTTCAAGATGAGTAGGAGCCTAATAAGGCTGTGATAAAAGGGCAAAAGGCACTGGGAGCCAAAAGCGGATTAATGAGCTCCTCCATTTATTTGTCTTCCTAACAGCCGAACTGTTACAACTATTGACACTCTTCAAAAGGTTCCGCTCTGAACCCTGTCCAGGCGCTGCAGGCTCCGATGGACATCTTCAAATCCAGAGAATGGAGGGGCAAGGGCTTCCCCTGTGTGGTGCCAAAACCAACAAAGCCCCATGGATCAGGTAATGAAACTTCAGCTTTTCCCCCTTTGAGATTTATTTACTGGCAGCTGACAAGGGGCAAATTCAGCTCGAATTGTGCAGTCAAGGCCCTGTCAAGCTTTTAGAGGCACCCTTGTCTTGAAGCACCTTCATGACTGGCATTTCACTCAAAAGCCCTCGGCACTGGTCCTTAACAGCTTATGACATCACAAAGGACACTCCAGACAGATGCCTACATGGCATCCTGCAGCATTTTAAAAGAGAATTAGTGGTTTTAATTATGGTCGTGGTATGAAAGGGAACCATGCAAGCTCCACAGGAGACCTTTGATCAGACCCTTTCGCTAGTACAATGCCACGGAACTGTGACTATTCCTGGTAAGGGGCCTTTTCTTGCTGAATGACTCACCAGTGATCTTTGAATGCAGACAAGCTTCTAGCCCTCCCTCTTCATTAGTGAGCATTTCTATACAGGGGCCTATATGGTGCTTGGAGTTTAGGAGCTATACAACTGGGGGGAAAAGAATCCCTACAGATTCAGGCCTCTACTTAGGAAGTGCTGAAGGACTCTGAGTGACTTTATTCATTAAAACAGGTTGCTATTAATTAACTGTCATAATAAAATAAAGAACTATTATTTGCATTTCTTACTATGTTCTCTTTAGTAATATGTATAAAAGATGCTTGTAACAGAAATGAATTTATTGAACCACTTCCCCACACCCCTGAACCCCCAATGCCCCCCTTTTTGGCAGCAGGAAGCCTCCTAATTATTGGGTCCAGATTTATGAGCCCAAATAGAAGTAAAACATGAATATAAAATTAATTAAGGAAAGACAAAATCCTTTTTACTTGCCAGTTTAAGCAACTGAAAAAAAAAAAGCAAACAACAATTAGCTTACATTTTTAGTGATTTCAGAGAATGATTGAACACAATAAAACCTTAACTTTTTTCAAAATATCATCTGGTTGGTATTTAGTTTGAAGTGTGAGATTATGTAACAACTACAGCTACTCAAAAAAAAAAATAAAAGAAAGAAAACCAACGCCCCCCGCGCCCCATCCCCTGCACCCCAAACAGTACTCTAGCTTGAAGTGTAACAAAATTAATTAAAAAATAATAATAAAAATTTCATTTCTGGGAGCCAGAGAATGTCTTTGGTCTGGTATTAATATTTTAAGAATTTAATTTTAATACCAATCCCAATAAGCAGGGCCCTTAAGATTCATGGTCAATATTTTAAGTATATGAAGATAGTTCATTCTCTTCTAGAATTTAATCAAGCAAGTCATTTGATGAAAGGTTGTGGAAGGAAGATTTTTCAAAATATTCTCACTGAAATGCTAATTCAGTAACACAGGCTAAATAGAATTTGTGGAAATAGCACATCTCAGTTTCTAACTCGGCCGTAAAACAGTTCCGTGACACCATGTTACTTATATCTGGGAGATGACTTAGTCTTCATTTTTTAATGCCATTTCTTTTCTTGGAGGAAAAACTTTTGGACTTGGGAATTTTGGAAGCTGAAAGCCGAGCTGGTTTTTCACAGTTTGCTGTCTCAGCCATTTTTCATATTTCTCAGACTTCGTAGTTCCTTTCTTAGGTGCTTTAGAGCAACTGAAATATCGGCCAGCTGGGGATCATTCTGGGCCTTTCGAGTGTAGAGACGGAAGTGTCTGATGGTTTCAGACAACAAGACTTCAGGGTCTGCACTTCTTTCCTGAAGGCGCAGCATCCGTTCACAGGAGATGGCGTAGTTCTTGTGCCAATTCACTGGGTGTTCCTTTCGTAAATAGACAATCTCCTTATAAAGCTGGAAGACAGCAAAAACATTGGCATTCCATTATTATCCCTTGACTTTTTTTAAAAAAAGACTAGAAACACAGAGGAATTAATAACACAAGGAAAAAAAAATGCAAGCAGCCTACAGTAAAAATCTAATCATTGCTAGGCCATGCAGAAAATGCAAGGAGGGTACTGTAATTATTACAGTAGCAGGAGGCAAATGCACTTCATATGAAACTGCTTCTGGGGTTTTTTGGATGTTGAGGAGGGAACTTTAGACACACGGTGTCAGGACAAAATGCTCTTCCTCCAGAAAGATGTTCTGGGAAAGGGATTTGGTTCTAATTCATGGAAAGCTATTTACTCAACAGGCAGAAAGGTTGAAACTCTAAATTTAGCTACTAAAGAAAAAAAAAGTAGCTTTCTTTAGAAAACTGCATGGAAAAAGAACTTGAAGAAGTTTCAATTTTGTCCCTCATTTTTACATAAAATTATCTCTACATTATAAGCAACAGTATTAACAATAGCAGCAATAGAAAACCTCTAACAAATCCAGCATCCAACAGGGTGGGCATAATATAATTTAAGAGACATCCTTAAAAGTGAGATGTTGAAAATCTCCAGTGTCCTAAAAATAAAAATTTTCATAGTTAAAACTTTGCCCTCAGGAATTCAGAATTTTGTTTTTCAATATCAGAGATAGTATTGATTGGATAGAATTAGAATCTTTAATATTGAGTTTTCTAGAGGAAAAAAGATAAAAAGTTAACAAATAAACCAAAATAACTAGATGCAAATCTACAAAACAATATTATGCTAGCTTATTGGGGAATTTCACAACCTTCTTAGGGATTATCAAATTGAAGTCAAATCCACAGGCACTTGAGTTAACCGGTAGCTGCCATGAGAGCACAGGACAAGTAATGATGCTTTCTCCAGGGACAAGGGCTTTTTGAATTAGAACTATACTCATTACATCATTCAGCTGAAAGGGACCCAATTATATTATCTATTTCCCCAACTCCTACTCTAGAGTAGACAAATGCATACCCAATCTTTTTCAAAATAACATCCCCATGAAAAATTCTCCAATCTGTATTTTTCATGTCATTTTGATATTTAATAACCCTTAGTCCTGAAGCTGCCTTTTAAAGCTATTGTTCCCTTGCCTTCACTCCATAAAATAGAAAAGAGTCACCTCGTACTTTTCATAGACTTCAAAGCTATTAAGTCAGCATTTTATTTTCTTGGTAAAATGTTCAAAGCTTCTCTACTTTTTCTCATAGGTCTTTTTTTATTTTCTCTATCTGCTGCTGCTCTTCCTGAGCCTCCCTCTGATGAGGGACATGTGTAAAATGCATGGCAGGCTGCCCTGCACAAAGTCGGTGCTCAAGAACTGCTCAGGTTCTTTTCTTAGCCGTTTTCAAAATCCTGATTAGATTTTGGAGTGCAAGATGGATGCCAGCAACTCAGTAAGCACTTTTCAATGGCTCAATAGAATAAGAGGCTCATTCATGACCTCCCTGCTACGTCTTCGGACATCAGAACAGCCATACTCCCCTTTCCTAAAACACTCTGATCCTGATGTCTCATCAGCTCATTCCGGATGGCCCATTAGCCGCAGGTGCTGTATCTTAAGAAGCTAAGAGTCATTTTTCATCATGTGGGAACAGTATTTCCTCCTCTAAGCGTGAGTCTTTGTGACATTAAGTCTAGGGGAACATAGTCTAGTTTGGGGGGATATCTTCAGTATATCAACTGTATTCCTAAAGATAGCAGATCATTCTTGCTCTCCAATACAGCTGAACTTAATGTTCTGGGTAACTATTGAACAGGACAATGTAAATAATAACAAAAATATCTTCTACACCTAACAAGAATGTTCTCGAAAAACCTGTACGAGGAGGTGATTTGTGTTGACCCATCAAGTATTTGAGCTCCTCTGTCTTGCAAACAAGGTCACACACCTGGAGACATACGTGAAGGAGATACCTATAGACTATGTTATAGACTTGTATTCACTGACCAGAGTAATGCCTGCAGACCCAAAGGGACAATAAATCCATGAATTGGCTTTAGTGGTGGCCTAACGACTGACCATGGAACAGATCACTGATGAGAACATAAAATATTACTAAGTCTCAGATTCCTCCCAACTAAATATGACTTGTTTTTCACAGAATCACAGGGTGTTAGAGATGAAATGGATCTGACATGGCCAGGATGTGAGAGATAATCTATAAAGTTTACAATCCACTTTTTTTGTGTGAAAGAAAAAATAGAAAGGTTAATTGGCACACAGTTAACAATGAATGGTGGAGCAGGCCTTGAACCAGGACTCCCTGACTGCAAGTCAGAAAACTCCAGAACACTGCTTCCTGTATCTAGTCCCTGGCTGTCCTGGATGGGCACCTCGGAGGTGTCCACCTTCATCCCTGTGGTTTCCTGCACCACATGTGTCTGGCTGGCTTCTTCTGATCTTTCAAGATGACAGTGCAGTGACATCTCCTCTGGCAGCTTTCCCTCCCTTCCTCGCCGCCTCTTTCCAGGAGGCTGGCTCATATGCCTCTCTCTGTCCCATGGCACGTCTGCACACCTCTTGCATCTCTCACTACTAACTGAGGACTTTATCTTCTATCTCCCTCTCTGGTGTGTGCCCATTTGACAGTAGGGTCAATGCCTGATCATCTCCATCACAGTATTTGGTACAGACTGGGTGCTCCATAAATGCTCTGTGAGTAAATGAATACATGAGTAAACCATGGACCAAAAAATACATAACTGAGGAGCAAAGGCTGTCACACTACTTGGACACCATGCTATTTTGACTCAGTCCCAAACAAATGCCCTGGCTGAGTAGATCCACAGCAGCCCAGAGACAGCATAAATAACTACTTGCTTAGATATACAGCTCCTGGGCTCTGGTCTCACTGGTTTTTGCCAGGATGTCTGTTTCCTATACTGTAGGCTCCAAGACTAGTTCAGAAGGTGTGGAAGAGTCCAGTGCTATAAATCACAAAAAAGCAGGGCCTTGTTAACACAGTGCTACAGCAAAGCAAGCCTCTGGTCTGTATTCTCGTTCCCATCACAGAGGACCAGCTAAGCAAGAGCCCTGGCGTGGCTGGATGTGCAGGCTGTCCGGCTTCCTGGGGTTATTCTCCATGACCCTTTATCTCTCTCATGAAATCTCAACCAGCCATGGTCCAATCGTTTCAAGTGTTGCCAGGGTCAAGATTTTGTATAGAGGGCGACCCATTGGAGCTGCTTTTTTAAAAAATAAAGCCATCATATTAGTTTCCTATTACTGCTGTAACAAATCACCACAAATGTAGTGGTTAAAACATAGCAGTTAAAATAATAAAAATGTATTAACATATATTTCTAGATGCTCTAGAATCTGTTTTTTTTTTTTTTTTTTTTTTTTGCTTTTTCTAGCTTTCAGAGGCTGCCTGCACTTCCTAACCTGTGGCCTCTTCCTCCATCTTTCAGGCCAGCTACCTGGCAATCTTCAAATCTCTTTCTGACCTCTGCTTGCAATGCCACGTCTCCTTCTCTGACTCTGACCTTCCTGCCTCCTCCTTCTAGGGACCCTTGTGATTATATTAGCCCCACCTGGATAATCTAGGATAATCTCCCCACCTCAGGATCCTTAACCACATCTGCAATGTGCCCTTTGCCATGTAAGACCACATATTCACAAATTCTGGAGATGAGAACATGGACTTCTTACATTATTTTGTCAACAACAGTCATTTACTTTAAATGTTATTTGAGAGACACATGACTATTTTTCCATTTGTATTGATTTATAATGCCAAATAAAGCTAGAAACAAAAAAGTAAAACTCTACTGTGATACACTCTTAACATCCCAAAGTCACCACTACCCTCCCACCAAATGTATTTATATATGTAAAAGTGCAACATACGTTATAGGCGTGAGTGTAGAGTTGAGCTTTCACGTTTGAAGGCAAACTTGCACTTTCTGCCAGGTTAAAGATGAAGAACGGTGTTTTCATCCTGGGAGTGGGAGGGTGTTCACGTCAATTTCACATTCAAAGCTAAATCCGCCAAACTTTTCCATTGATGACGATCATACAGAACCCTTTATTGTATTCTTTTTACTTCTTTCATATTCATAGAAGTTTACTCTGAACCAACAGTAACCCTCCCTCCACACCAAGACACTGCATTCTGTTCATCATCACTATCTTGCATCACCTTCCCTCCAGATGTACATATTCACTGTGCAAGAGCAGCTGGGAGCGGGAGACTTGCTGAGTCTGTCAGCACATCCCTGAAGGTACCCATCACGACAGCTCATGCCGTGTGTGACCAGTTCTTCAAAGGTGCCTAGACTCTTTGACCACATGAACTCATCCAAATTGTATTCAGCACACCAATTAAATCAATACCTGCCCGAATAATGACCTGCTTTCTTCTTTTATGTGATTTCTCCCCCAGCTTTCCCACACTGTCACACTGAAGAATCATGCGAACATTTGGTATATCTTTGATTAGTCCCTCAAAGCAAGTATTTGTTCTTATAACTAGGTTGATAACTTGAAATATGCAATTTTCTGACATTTCCAAAACACTACTACAAAGACTATCTTTTTTGTAATTGTTATTTTGTCAAGAACCATATTTCTTGACAATTAAAAAAAAAACCCTCTTTAAACATATTACAAAAAAAAACCAAACATATTACACTCTAACTCAATTCCTGGTGCACTCAGCCCCTGGCCCAGAGTGGGCATCAGCCCATTTTTCCTGGCGGAAGTACTTCATACTTGGTACCCCTGTCTGCATCACTTAGGCCTTTTACATTTTAGGCCAAAGTCTGTTAGTGTTAGATATTTTGATTATTTTAAAATAATGGCAGGAACACAGACAAGAGCATCACCGTGAAGTGTTCATTCACATAGGAACAGGAAAGTCCAGCATCTAGTACATGAATAGTCAAATCTCTTGGACTATGTCTGTCTGCTCCATTGACAATAGGAACTGTGTCATATTCCTATTGTAGCCTCCAAGACTAGCACGGTGCCTAGTCTCTAGGAAGTTTTCAGTAAGTGTTTAAATAACTAACTAGCACATCACACATGGGACAGGGTGGTAATTATCAATTTCTCCTCAATCAATTATGTTGACTTTGGTTTAGTGGAGGCAGGAAAGCACAGGAGTGACGAATGTTCCAGTCAGAGAGATGTGAATTTTGGACTCTATTGGTAGAGCTATACGGCCTTGGACAAGTAACCTCTCTGCCTTCAGTTTGTTCTTTTTGTAAAATGGAGTAATAATGACTTCTCCACAGGTTGTTGTATGGATGAAATGAGATTATGCCTTAGTAACAATTAGTACAATGCCCCAAACAAAATGATTGCTCATAAATACTATTTTTATTACCACCATGCCCCCCCTGCTCCCCAAATGAAAAGTGCCACAAGCTACTTCTACTACATTAAAAATAGACTGCAAACCGAAAGTATACATTAGTCACCTTGCTTGCCACATCTCCTCATTGGCCACAGATTCCCAGGAAGAAGGATCAAACCTGTAGTTAGAAGAAAATCGTAACATTTTCCTGCCAGCTACCTTTATTGTTACGGACATATCATTTTTGTTTTATAATCTTACAAGGCAAATAAAATAGGTTGCATCTTGAAGTACGGATAGAGACCAAAATAACAAAACTTATTCTCCTGAAATATTTGATGGTTAGGAATTTGAGGTTTTGGTAAATGTATTCTTAATCTGCATAATGAGCCCCACTGCATCACAGGAGCACACTAAAGCTCAGTGGGAAGAGGCTGGAGGCTTCTGGGGAGTCAGCTGTTCCTGAGAGCTGTCAGGCGGGCAGTGGGGTGGGGGTGAGGCCTGGGTCCCTCTGTGGGCACAGCTGTAGAACTGTGAGGAGAGGGGACTCCTGGCTTTGATAAATCGCTGTTGGAGCTAGGATGCTGCTTAAAGAGCCCTAGCTAAACCATTTGCCAATTTTCCCCACTTAATTAAAATTTCTCTTAGCAAGTATCTACTTTGACAGACTGGAGGCAGTGAGTGACGCTGTGTATCCGCACTGTCATCAGCTGTTTGGAGAACAGGGGATTTTCCAGCTTTTCCTCACAATGGTCACAGAGTACTTTGATAGACAACTACTTATCCAGCTCTGGCTGGAGCATAGCAGTGGGATCTGTTTGCTCATATTGACTCAGAAAACTTCAGTAGCATTTGTTCCTAGGATTTTGAGTGTTGCTCTTGAATTATAGGCCTCCCTGATATCTCAGTTGGTAAAGAATCTGCCTGCAATGCAGGAGACCCCAGATTGATTCCTGAGTCAGGAAGATCCTCTGGAGAAGGGATAGGCTACCCACTCCACTAGTCTTGGGCTTCCTTTGTGGCTCAGCTGGTAAAGAATCTGCCTGCAATGTGGGAGACCTGGGTTCGATCCCTGGGTTGGGAAGATTCTCTGGAGCAGGGAACGGCTACCCACTTGAATTATAAGCAGTAATTATCTAATCTTTGCATAATTCATAATTTAGTTAAAAAATCAGGCAATAGAGAGCGCTATCTTCAGATGGTGACTCATTTTCCACATGGGAGAGAGTCAACTATAGGTAGAGATGCTTCCAGGAAGACTAATCAAAACAACAGAACAAGGCTAATGACAAACAACTGTGAAGAAAAAGTTACTTAAACCCCAGTCTTCCTATAGAGAAGTGATCTGCCATTCTTTTTTTTCTTTCTTATTTTGACCACACCATGTGACAGGTAGGATCTTAGTTCTCTGACCAGGAATGGAACCTGAGCCCTTTGCTGTGGAAGTGGGGAGTCTTAATCACTGGATCATCAGGGAAGTCCCTGATCAGGCATTCCTGAAGAAAAAAAAAGTGACAAGTTTATGTGTGTGGAAACTATTAGGGACAACAGAGTGAGTTTTAAAGCTCTGCTTCAGTTAATGAATTTCTTCCACTTTTAGGGTCTGAGATACAGGATGATGGACCATGTAGCATTACAAGAGTGGACGTGGATGGTGGCACATATCTAACTATACGGTACCCGCTTAACCATCACTGCCTTCCTCCACCTCTCCATTGTCCTTCAAGCCTGAGGACAAGAAATATATGTTCTCCTTCTCTATCACGATACTCTGTGGGCAGCAAATAGCAATATTAGCTACTAATAAAAAAACAAACAACAACAAAAAAATAAAAGTCATTTCAAAATTTAGTAAGTTTTTTAGGCACACAAAACAGCTATACACTGATGGGAAACAACTGCTCTCCATACCTTCCATAGTCTTCAGTCCAGTTATAGATATTTCTCGTAAGTTTAATCCACTCCTCAGGGTTGAATACAATCTCTGAAGAAACTAATTTGTCACAAGAACCCCATGGCCAAAGTGAATAGTTTGTTTTCCAGGTTGGGTCGCCTTCGTGAATTCCTATGCAAACAAATGTTTCTTTTCTGTTGAAGAAAGAAAAATATGTATTATCAGCTTAAAGTTCTAAATGCCAAATACATTTAACTCAGGAAGGGTCATTTTTGATTCTAAACCTCAGTTACCAATAAACCATTTGTGAACACTTTGGTTTCTTTAAACCTCTGCCAATAGATTGCTTTAAATTTATATTAGTGGGGAAAAAAGCTGTCTGGGGATTGAAGGAAAGCACACAGACATAAATAATAAAACCTACCTGTTTGTGACATGGTAAGAAATCAGGTGGGGACAAACACAAGGAAAGAGTCTGTGGTTCTGTGGTTCTGTCTCATGTGTAAATATACATATTATTTGATACCTTCTAAATTTTATAGGTGGAAACATGTCTTCATATTAGTAATACTACTAATACTAGTAGTCTTTCTGTCCTCCAATTTCCATTGCATTTTACTTTTAATCTCTTTTAGCATTATTTTATTGAACCTACTATTTTCATTTACAAATCCTTCTGAGTAGCCCAGAAGTATCCTAAGGATAGGCTCTTTATCTCTAAATTAATTCTGAAATCTAAACATGGAACAACTATCTGAAGACTCTAACAGTAAATGGTAGAAAGAAGATTGAGGGAAGAAAGCAGAATTCTGAGTTCCACCAAATCCGTGGTGAGTTTACTCCTTTTCGTCTTCCAGGATTACCTGGCCTGAACTCAAAGGAAGCCTGAAACCCAAAATACATACCAAGTGAAAACGAAGAGATCTCAAGAGAAGCCTTCCCCTTGCTTTTTCCCGAGTCCAAGCAGCAGGAAAAGGAACTTGTAAGGGTTGGAACAGCAGAGGAAATCCCCAGAACTTTTCCCCTTCTCTCCTTCCCCGGGCACCAGACAACACTGTGCCATCAGCAGAAGCAGCAGCACGGGGCAGCTGGGCAGGTTCCCGTAACACTGCCCAAGTGGATGCTTCTCGCTAACCAGAGGAGCTGGGGTTCCAAGAATTGGGAGCAAATTCCCATTACTCCTCCACTGGATGGGCTTCATATAATTTTAGAAAGACAGAACGTGTGTCAATGAACTTGAAGCTAGATCAAGAGAAATTGTATAATTTAAACAAAGAGGAAAAAATATTGAAAGTATAGAGTCTTAGGTACCTGTGGAACAATATCAAAAGGTCTAACACAGGAGTCATCAGAATCCCAGAAGAAGAGAAAAAAGGTGGAGCAGGAAAAGTACTTAAAGAAATAGCATCAGAAAACTTCCAACTTTTGTGAAAGACATAATCTTTCAGATTCACAAAACTTAGTAAATCCCAAGCAGGTTAAACTCAAAGAAATTCATGCCCAGATACATCATAATCAAATTGCTTAAAACTAAAGACAAAAGATCTTGAAAGCAGTCAGAGAAAAACAACACATTTCACACAAGGGAAACAATGATTTGAATAACTGCAGATTTCTCAACAGAAGCCATGCATGGCAAAAGGATATAAAATAACACTGTTAAAGTGGTGAGAGAAAAAAAGAACTATCCAACCCAGAATTCCATATCCAGAAATATCCTTCAAAAATGAAGGTGAAATAAAGACATTTTTGGGTAAAGAAAGACTAAGAGAATTCACTGCTAACAGTCTTGCTCTGCAAGAAATACTAAAGGACTAACTTCAGAAGGGAGAAAAGTGATACAAGATGGAAAGCTGGACTACCAGGATTGAAGGAAGAGCAACAGATTCGGTAAATATCTGAACAAATATCTAAGACTACTTTTTCTCTTAAATTAAAAAACATATGTTGAAAACAAAAATTATCACATGTCTAATATAACATGTTTGACAACACAATCAAAAGTGGAGTAAAGGAACTTACATGCCACTAAGATTTCTACAGTTCACTTGAAGTAGTAAATTGGTTTAGTCACTAAGTGATGTCCGACTCTTGTGACCCATGGACTATTGCCCACCAGGCTTCTCTGTCCATGGGGTTTTCCAGGCAAGAGTACTGGAGTGGTTTGTCATTTCCTTCTCCAAAAGTAGTAAACAGATTGTGAAAGTTAAATATGTCTGTATACTGTAATTCTAAGATCAACCACTGAAAAAATGTACCAAGAGACACAGTAACATGGAATGCTAAAAACAATCAAATTATCCAAAAGAAAGCAGGAAGGGAAACAGTGGAATGAAAAACAGAAAACAGTAATAAAATGATAGATGTACATCTAAAACATGTCAATATTTACATTCAATGCAAATGGCCTGGATATAAATGAAATGATAGACAAATTGTCAGAATGGCTAATAAAATAAGAGTCAATATGTGCTGTCTACAAGAAACCCACTTTAAACATGACATAGGTGGCTAAAAGCAAAAGGAAGAAAAAAAAGATAACGCCATGAAAAAACTAATCAAATTAAAACCAGTCAAAAACCCCAGAAGTATTTTTTTTTTTGTAAATACAGAAAAAGGTGCAAATGCAATTAAATGAAGAAAGAATAAATGTTTTGAACAAATGATATGAGGACAAAATAACATTCATAGGCAAAAATATCTTTGTTCTAAGCAACCCCCTTGCAAAAATTAACTCAAAAGTGATTTTTGATCTGAAATATAAAACATAAAACTGTAAAACTCTTAGAAGAAAACATGAGATAATCTTTGTGACCTGGCATTAGGCAAGAGTTGTTTGACAGGAGATCAAAAAGTATGATCCATAAAAGAGAAATATGATAATTGGATTTCATCAAAATAAAAAAAAATTACCTGCAAAAGACACTTTGAAGAGAACAAAAATACTGGGAGAAAATATCACATATTTAATAAAAGATTTGAATCTAGAATATACACAGAACTCTTAAAACTCAATAGTAAGAAAACAAACAATCCAATAAATCCAATAATCCCACTCCTAGGTATGAAAACATATTCATACACAAACCTGTATATGAATGTTTATAGCAGCTCTATTCACAAATAACTGGAAACAACCCAAATGTCCTTGAATAGATGAATGGATAAACTGCAGTACATCCATACAAAGGAATACTAATCAGTAACAAAAAGGAATAAACTATTGATACACAACAATAACTTGGAAGGATCTCAGAGGTGTCTTGCTAAGTAAGGTATGCTAGTATCAAAAAGTCACATAATTTATGAGTCCATTTATATGACATCTGGAAAAGGTAAAACTATAGTAACAGAGGTGGTGAGGGTTAGGGGTCTGGGGACAGTTCAACAACAAAGGAGCAGCAAAAGGGAGCTTCTGGGATCATGGATTTGTTCTGTATCCTAACTGTTCCTACCCACTTGGCAAATTCTTAGTCTTTGAGTCTCCAAATTTCATCCATACCGGTATTATCATGCTTACCAGCTGATACTGTAACTTATCTGTTTCACATTTAAGGCATCACTTGACATCTGTCTCAAAGATGGTAACAGCAGGGATCACACCCATCCACCTACAGCTAGTACAGGTGTTGGGACATTTTGAATACCCAATATTTATTAAATAAACATTGAATGAATGCCCCTCGGCAGAATTAATTGCTTCCTCATCCATGGTCCCAGAACATTAGGCTTATACTGTCAATGAAGTCATTGATTTAGTAAGCACACATTGAACATTTACTGTGTCTCACACTTTACAAGGCTTTGTTAGTACAGAGCTTACACCATTATGGTCAACTGTATTCATATCTATGTATATATACAAACTAGACTGTAGTCTGCTTAAATCTGGAGCTGAGTCTCACTTTATTGCCTAATACAAACTGGTACATAGTAGGTTCAATTAATGTTTATGAGGTTAAACTAAATAAAGTGCACCAAAAATGCTTATTAGGAGATGTTGTTAATATTTTATTCCAAAATAGAACAATTAATTATTAATCTCACAGCACATTTGTACCTATTACCTTCATATTACTTCATGAGCCACAGTAACCTTCAGGCTCTGAACACCAAAGTATCACTTCATTATGTTCTTAGTAAGGGACAGTTTAACTTTGGAATTTACAAAAATTTCTGAAATCCCCTTTATAAGAGAATAGAAATTATGAAATAAGTTTTCTTCTTTAGGCTCTGGACAATCCCAAGCATTTCACGGACAGGAAAAATATTCAACAGTATACCACTGCAGGAGTTATTTATTCTTGACCTTAACTATGAATAATTTTATGTTCTGAAGTATAGAATTCACAATTCTCATATGTTATCTCAGTCAGCATAACTGTAGGTGTTTTTCTTATTTATAAAAATGCCTTATCCTTTAGAAAAAAATCCTTAAGCTATTTTTATATAGTGATTATTCCCGGAAAACATTTGCATTAAACTTAAAAGGGGGCCATGGTGTTGATCAGGGGGAAACTATAATTGCTTGCGATCTACCTGCAATGATTTCAAGTAGGCAGGCACATCTCCAATTTCTCTGAATTGTACTAAGATCTTATTTGCTATTCTTGCTAATCTGTCTTTATTTTTCCTTTACCCAGAACAATAACATTTATTTCTGCCTGGCCTCATTTATGCACAGATATTCAATTTAATTACAAAGATAATCTCACCGGTGACAGGGAAATAGGTGTAGAAAATTGGTCTTTTGGATGAAGCACAGCTGCTACATAAACAATTTTAGAAAAGCTTAAGATTTTAGAAAAGCTATTATATGAAAAGAATGCTTACTGTTTATTTACTTCAAGAAAATGATAAAGATTAAATGTGACCATTCCACTAGGCAATATTCCTTCCACAGGATTCCAACGGTTCCCAGGAAACTTGACGCCTGGTAAATGCTTTGCCATCTTGGGTAAATACCACTCATAAGTCATCATCTGCCAGAAAGATAACATGTGATATCATGTTTTTAATATGTTTTTTAAAAAAGAACCAAGTTTATCAAGGATGATGAAGAAGTTACCAAATGTGGAGTTACTCATTAAATATAAACATAATTGAAAAACACATACAAATGCAACCAAGGTATGTGCCACTATTCTTCTAATGACTAGGCCCTTAGATCTTATGTCTTAAGTTATAATTATCAGCTATCAATAAAATCAGCACCTAGTCTATGACCAGAAGGACCTACTGTGCTTATACCTAGGGAGTATACTGAACTTTCAGAACCAGCTTAAGCATCACTTCCTCGAGGATGTCCTCCCCAGTTTTCACAGCAGAACAAGATGCTCCTCTAGCACTACGTACCTACCTTGACTATAGCTTCTAGCCTATTCCTCACTAGACTGAGAGCTCCTATAGGAAAGAGACTGTATCTTATCACCTCATTGCCTCTTCACCTAGCACAATGCCTGGCACAGAATAGTTCCCAAACTATGTTTGCTGAAGCTGAAATGTCTTTTTGATGGCCAGACTAGACAACCTAGGCAAAATAAAGAGGTGTGTCATAACTCTGTTCTTTCATTCATTTAATTCAGAAAACAAAAACAAGTAGTGCTTGACCTATAGTGAAGGAGACATAATCCCTGCCCTTGAGAAGTTCAATCATATAACCTAGGCCTCAAAGTTAAAAACCCCGTGGCTAAATAATCTGAATTTATTAATAACTCCAAATTAATTACATGTCCTTACATATTCTTTTGGTTAAAATAAATCATTAGTATTAAAATTTTTTTCTTAATTCTATACTTAATATATACTTCATTCTACAATTTTATATGTACAGATTTAATTTTTTAAAGAAGACTTCATTAAAGTTTGGATATTATTACTTGAGCAATTATGTTTATGTTTTACTTGTCTCTACAAATCATTTAACTAAAAGTGACAAATTAACTTTAATCTAAGTATGTAGAGGGTGCTTCCCTGGTGGCTCAGTGGTAAAAAATCCACTTAAAATGCAGGAGATGTGGGTTTGATCCCTGCATTGGGAAGATCCCCGGGAGGAGGGCATGGCAACCCACTTCAGTATTCTTGCCTGGAGAATTCTATGGACCAAGGAGCCTGGCAGGATATAATCCACAGTGCTGAAAAGAATCGGACACAACTTAGCTACTGAACAACATATTGGAAATACTCAAAAAATACTTATTGAATTAAGAGTTTATTTCCCAATAGTTTAAGTATTTGAGAATCAAAAGTCAAAATCAAAGTCGCTCAGTCATGTCTGACACTTTGTGATCCCATGGGCTATACAGTCCACGAATTCTCCAGACTAGAATACTGGAGAAGATTCCCTTCTCCAGGAGATCTTCCCAATCCAGGAATCGAACCGGAGTCTCCTGCATTGCAGGNGCTGGGAGGGATTGGGGGCAGGAGGAGAAGGGGATGACAGAGGATGAGATGGCTGGATGGCATCACCGACTTGATGGGCATGAGTTTGAGTAAACTCTGGGAGTTGGTGATGGACAGGGAGGCCTGGCGTGCTGCGATTCATGGGGTCGCAAAGAGTTGGACACAACTGAGTGACTGAACTGAACTGAACATTCATTAAATACCCACTATGTACTAGGACCTTACTGTTTCTCATTCAATTCTCATAATAACCTTATTATGTGAGAATAATTATTTCTGATACTGTTGATTACCCACTCAAAAGCCAATCCTTCTTTTCAACTAACACAAGCCTGGTTTTAATCAGGGAGTTACAGTCATTCTTCTTTGCTAGTGAGTAGTCTTTGGAGTAGTCATGTGACCCAATACTGGTTAGTGGGGCCTGAATAGAGGTCTGGCAGGGTCATCTGGGGCACATGTTATTCCCAATACAGAGAGAGAAAGAGAGAGAGAACTCAGAAGAAGCACTTTGCATGCAATGTTTGGAACCAGGCAACCTTCAGTTCAAGAGACCTGCAGAAAAGCTGCCCTAGAACATGGCCATCATGGAACTGCTTGTATTATCAATCCTAAAAGCTCCTTTCTCCAGACTACTTGTTTTGTGAGGTTAAAAATTCCATAGTTTAAGCTACTCTTAGTCAGAGATTTTGTTTCTTACATTCAAAAGCATCCTAACTTACTTATCTAATGATTATTTCCATTTAATAGACAGGGAAACAGAAGTTCTGAAAGGAAAACTCTTTAGCCCTAAGTCACACATTTAGGAAGTGAGAGGATAAGGATGTGAATTCAGGTTTAATTAACTTTGAAATCCAAGCTCCTCAACCATAGTACCTGTATTTAAAATCATGGTATACCATATTATTAACAAATGATCTAGCTTTTGTCAGATTCTAGATCATTTTAATCAAGGCCAAATTAATCATCAGTGTACATGACATAAATGCAAACTGCTTATAAAAATATGTGTGATTTTCAAATTTCCCTATATTTGCAAATGTTTAAAGTGCTCCAAAAATTTTAAATTATTTATTAATTGAATGAAATTATTAAATAAGTATTTTTTCAAAAAATTTTTAAAATCAGTATTGTGCCTTTAGTTTGCTCAATAAAACTAGTAATACTTTTTCAAGGTTAAGAATTTCTCCTAGACTCAGATGTATAGAATAGACTTGTGGACTCTGGGAGAAGGCGAGGGTGGGATGTTTCAAGAGAACAGCATTGAAACATNACAAGTCCTTTCCCAACATACTTTTGTCATAAGATCTACAAAATTTACAAATTCTATAACAGAATTGTGGTTAATAATTTCTATTTTGAGTGCAATGTTTACTTACTTGCAGTATGATTTATTTTACAGTCAGCCTAATTTATTTTAATCCCTGGACCAGTGGGCAGTATTAATTTGAATGGCTGAGCTGACTGGATGTAAAAGAACAATTTAAAAATAAATTTACAACACAGTATTGTCATGGTCTGTCATGTGAACTAGAGACCTAGGATGTTGTTTGAATCTGAGACATATAAATTCTTAAAACACTCAGTTTAAAAAAGAAAGAAGAAACACATGACTTATCCTATTAGTTACAATAAAGGAAAGAATGTGATATATATTTTACCTCAGAGTGATCATGAAAACTGTACCCATGCACTGTTAAAAAAAAGAAATAGTTCTTTAAAATACACATGTTTTAAAACAATTGCTACTACTATATTTTAAGTATATTTCTCACATACTTACTTCCTGATCCACTAATGAAATATCTGGCCTCAGTCCCTCACAATAATGCATGTAACGGAGAGAATTCCCTGGCAGATCCCCTCTGAGTAAGATAATTGCATCACGAGGCATAGAGGATAGAAGGTTCTTTGCAAATTTATCAATCACATAGTTGGTCCTTTGGTCACAAATGCTAAATAAAAGGATTACAAAATATTAAAATAGCAACATATTGTTTTGGTTTTAATAAGACTAGGCTTATTCCCCACTCCATTCCTTTCCCATTACACAATCTACACTTAGTGTTTTAAATATTCTAACATATCTTCTAAAAGGATGCATATATTTGAAAGGGAACACTACTAACTGGGGAAAAAAAGGTAGAACTAATTGTGCTAGTGAAAAAAATCAGCATACTGCTTTACTTCTGGAATTTATAATCATTTCCATAAAAAGGGAACCAGTTAGTACTCAATATTGAGTACTTTTTACCCCTAAAAACATATCCAATTTCACTAAAAAGAAGTAAGGTTTTTGATTCCATTTGGAGTATAAGGTAATTTCATGTTAATTCCATTTAGTTCGTAGGGATTTTCAAAAATGCAAAAGGAAATTTGCCAGTTTGTGGCATAAATTTGCACATTTGTCTGACATGCAAGAGAGCATGTAGAGGCTGATCCTTTCCACCACTTCTCCGGACCACTGGCTCTCTGTGTTCCTCTCTCCCTTCTAGACTGAAGCTGCTTATCACTAGGGGATGAACCCAATGAGAAAGAAGGGAAGGAATAATTTGTTGAGATATTTACTTCTCTCCAGGCATTATTTACTGTTGCCAACAATAGCAGGATAGCTCTTTTCAATGATGAAGTGGACTTTTTAACTTCAAAGGAAAAACTGGCATGAATTCTCAGAGCTTTCCACACAAAAAGAAAATGAATATAAGAGAGAAAAAGCATCAGAAAACTGAACAAGAAATGTCCTTCCTCTTTTTTTTGGTCCTTCCTCTTATTATCAGTTCCATTACATGTAATGGTGTTAAGAAACACAGCCTAAAGTTGAATCACTGAGTTAGCATCACAAAGCAAATTAATACTTCCAGGAACAAAATACTATCCCTGACTTTGTAACTGATGACACAAATGTTTCCTACTGTGATTCCCTACTTTGCAGGCTGATGCCTCACCCTTTGCCACCCAGCAAAGTTCCATTCACCTGGGGGCAAAAAAGAATCCAAAGCGAACCAAGCCACCCAGTCTGTGCAGGCATCCCTGGTGTGGAAACTGAGTTGCCCTAAAGACCTGAGCCAGGAGAAGAATGGGATAAAAGAGGGGTGGGAAACACACTACGGGCCTGGCAAACCCTTCTTGAGCCAGCTATGGAGTTGTATCAGGAATCTGCCTCCCCTTCCCACAAGGCCTCCTGGTGACACAGTGTCCCTAACATGGCTGTTCCTCAGCATTATAAAATACATTGGCTTTTAAAGTTAAGTTGAAAGGGGAACTGCCATCTTTTAAAGTACCAATCAAATCTCACTATAACAAAACTCTGGTGGACTCTTCCACTTCTATAAAGTTTACTCAATATTCCTGCAAATAAATGAACTATCACCTAAGCCTTTACATCTTTTATGTTTGACTGACATTTACATTATAAGGGTCATTAAGCAGATTTTGAAAAATACAAACAACACTAATAATGCATAAGGGTTAAGAAACTTTCAGAACTTTGATTATTCAAAATATTTAATATACACTGCTACAGAGTATACTAGATAAGGGCCAAGGATTACTCAAAAGATAAATTCTTTGAAGCACAAAGTGAATTATTTTAAGGCATACAAAAAACGCCCAAATTGGGACTTCCCTGCCAGTCCATGAGATGGTTGGATGGCATCAATGACTCCATGGACATGAGCTTGAGCAAGCTCCGGGAGTTGATGATAGGTAGGGAAGCCTGGGCTGCTGCAGTCCATGAGGTCACAAAGAGTCAGACATGACTAAGTGACTGAATTGAACTGCCAGTCCATTGGTTAAGACTGTGCTTCTACACAGGGAGTGCAGGTTCGATCCCTGGTTGGGGAGCTAAGATCCCACAAGCCTAGTGGTATGGCAAAAACAAACAAAAGCAAAACTTCAAATGTCTTTACTCTCCATCTAAGTGGTATTTTAGATCATGGAATTTTACATATACTCCACAGAGCTTGCTCAAACTCTTGTCCATGGAGTCACTGATGCCATCCAAGATTGTACAAAGTAGCTCTACGATCTCTTTTAGTGGAAAATACACAGATAGTTTACAAGCACCACTTGAACCCTTGTTTGTAATGCCCTGAAACTATACATTACTCATCCTGAGATTCTTGTTCAAAGGTTTAACAACCACTGCATTCAGATCAAGCTATTTCACTTTGAAAACTAGTGGAAGGTAAAGATAAAACAAAGCCCTAGTATCTAAATATCCCAAATGTCTCTGGCTGGAAAGCTACTTTTCATAAAAATAACCAAGTATTACCTATAGTTAGAATATATTTGGCAAGTTACAAAAAGAATTGCTGAAAGCCATTCCAGATACTGAAGCCCGTTGGTGTTGAGCATTCGGTTACTCTCAGATACAAGGGCAGCCAAACCGATGCCAGCAAGGACAGCCACCACTGCATTGCTCTGCATCCAGAATCGTTCCACCTGTGAACGAGGCATGGGAACAGTGAATCCAACTGACTGTTTTATGTATTCGATCAGGTACTTATATATTTTAAAATATATATTGCATGCATATAGTTGCTTATGCCTGTGTCATTTATGTCTTCTTAACTGACTTTCCCAACTCAACTCCATGTCACTTGATTTTTCCATTTTCAAGCATTCTTCCTTCCCTGTTGGACATGTGGATCTCCCTTTTTGGATCCACACAGTCTTTTCTATACTGCACACTTAATCTTGAATTTTTTATCCTAACGTGCAAAGTTGAAGAGGTGGAGAAATGCTTTTGCTTAACTCCTGATGTTTCCTTCTGTGAGAAGCCCCACCAGTATAACACTCTTTCCCCTCACTTATTTCTTCTGGAAGGATTGTAGGGACTGAGCTGACTGGAGAGTCTGGGGGTTGGGCCTGCAGGGCTCTCCTCTTTCCTCTTCTTTCTCTTGGAAGTGAGTCGCCCACAAGAAGCACTTGTCCAGGGGCAGACTTTGGGGTGAGGTGAACTGGGGAGGGAAGAGGCCGGTCCTGAGCAGCACTGCTAATGACTGAACTGTTCAGGGATACAGGATGAGGAGGCTCCCTTGCCCACAGATATTAACCACATTCTCCAACCCCATCGTTATTGGTAACAAAGGTGATTCTCCCACCCAATGTACTGGTCTATCTTGTTCTCAACTGATTCAGAACTCAGGTACTCAAATAAGGTATTATTCCTCAGGTCTCTTGGAAATACACACACACACAGAGTTGGTTTTGGCTGCTATCTACATTTACATAGTTTGTGTTCTAAGGAGAAGAAATACTCTAATCTCAGATATTATAGTCAGGGAAAATTGAAATATACTTCCTGTTTTCTACAGGTGTGGACTGGTGAGGTAAGAAAATGAGGGAATATGTTGGTAGAGACCCTAAGTACAACCCATATTTCTTTGCTATTTAAAAAAGTTCCAGAAGAAATGTGAAAAAGAAAGTGAAAGTGTTAGTCACTCAGTGGTGTCTGACTCTCTGCGATCCCATGGGCTGCAGCCCACCAGACTCCTCTGTCCGTGGGATTCTCCAGGCAAGAGTTCTGGAGCGGGCTGCCATGCCCTCCCCAGGGGATCCTCCCGGCCCGGGGCCTGAACTGCGTCTCCTGCACTGCAGGCGGGTTCTTCACCAGCTGAACCCCCAGGGAGGCTCAGTCCCTAAAACACTACATTTAAATACAATTTCCAACTCCGCATCCTCTCCGCATCCTCAGCGTGTTAAAAACCACTGAAAACACCATAAGTAAACCAGAAAGGAATATTCCTAAGGCAGTCTTATTAGAAACCTAAACTTCAGGATACTGCTCAGTAGCCATAGCCATTGTATAACCAAATACTACCAACATCCCCCTCTAAAAAAATTAAAAACACCATTAATTCTACAAAAGAACCACCAAAATTCAATACAATACCACAACCAACACCACCTCTTACAATTAACATGAGCCTCCGATAAATAGGTGAAGGTTTTGAAGAAAACCCCACAAAACCAATCACAAAAATAGTACTTAAATATGATGGATGTTATCATTATTCTTACATGGAATTTACCACAAGTAATGATATGAAAAACCATCATTGTTATTCAACTATAAGAATACTAATGACCAACATTCAGAAATCATACCCACTAATAAAAATCATCAACAATGCATTCATTGATATCCCCACACCATCAAACATTTTCATCAAGCTATTTTAAAAAATTCCAGAAGAAATGTAGTGGTTCCTATTAACATATCTGCAAGCACACACATAAAATGACTAACTTAAATCTACCTTACATTTATTTTTCTATTTAACTATTGTGTTAATGAAACTATGCTTCCTCACCCCCCAAAAGAGGCCTTAGCCTGATCATGTATACACAATATCAGGGCTTCACTGATAGCTCAGCTGGTAAAGAATCCGCCTGCAATGCAGGAGACCCCGGTTCAATTCCTGGGTCACGAATATCCCCTGGAAAAGTGACAGGCTACTCACTCCAGTATTCTTGGGCTTTCCTTGTGGCTCACCTGGTAAAGAATCCACCTATAATGCTGGAGATCTGGATTCGATCCCAGGGTTGGGAAGATTCCCTGGAGAAGAGAAAGGCTACCCACTACAACATTCAGAAGAGTTGGACATGACTGAGTGACTTTCACTTCACTTCCCTTCATGCAAAATTTTAACTATTTCTGAGACAGCTTGCCCTTCTACAAGATTCATGAAAAACAGATTTGTACATTCTTCATGAATTTTCTGGTCAAAGGATATATCTAGGCAAAACTTACCACACCCATGAAAAGCGGTTTTGAAATATCTAAATTTGCCCTCCAGGCAAAGAACAATGAATAAACGCAAAACATTCCAGTAAAAAGCCATACTAATGATGGGCTCTGTCTGTCCCTATAAAAAAATTAAAATATGTCCAAAATTACTTATGTGACATGAATATTAATAATATTACAGTTATAAGCTATAGGAAAAATATTTGGAACTAAAAACCTTTCCATTTTTAAATAGGAACAAAGAATGACCTTAGGCTTAAAAATGTGAGTTGGAATAGATAACCAAAACATAGTAACAAGCCACATTGCATTACATATTATAAGCATAACTTGGAACTATGCAGCAAAAAATATGAAATTAAAATCTGCAGAAGAAATATAAATTACTAATCCTATTAAATTTAAGCTTATGGCAACCCACTCCAGTATTCTTGCCTAGAGAATCCCATGGATGGAAGAGCCTGGTAGACTCCAGTCCATGTGGTCACAAAGAGTTGGACACGACTGAGAGACTTCACTTTCACACATATGCAAAACAAAAGAATAATTTCATGCATCAAAATAATAAAAATTTTAAAATGAAAAATCTCAATGCTGGTGAGAATGAAGTTTTATGAGCATGTATGTTAGTACAATGTTCAAGAAAAATTAATTTGATAATATATCAATATATCAAGAGCCTTAAAAAATATTCACATTCATTGACCCAGTAATTTGATATATGGGCATAAATCTTTAAGTAAGAATCAGAAATACTGGATAAGAATTAATCCATAATAATGCCTTGGTATTTATTTACAGTAGTGGAAAAAGTGGAAGCAATCTAAGACTCTTAAATAGGAAAACATTTAAATTAATTGTCCCAGGTTTTAGAATGGACTATTATACAGAAATTTAAATGATTCTAAGTATTTCTTATGGTATGGAAAAATGCTCACTATAATGTTAAGGGTAAAGGAAATAAAACAATAAGTATATATGCAAATATACATTTATATAAGAATATACTCAATAGACTAGAAAGTCAGTGAATAAGAAATTAACAGAGGTTAATAGTGTGATATTTTTTAGGTTTCCTTTTATCATCAGAGGTTACTTTTATCTTCAGTGGAGTTCAAATAATTGCTTGGCTCTTTTGCAAAGCAACAATAATGATTGACTGTGGAGAGAGTAAGAGATCCAACCAGAAGTTTAAGACATCAGATGGCTCACCTAGTTAGATTATTAATCAATCTTTCAAAGTCATTAATTTATAATCAGAAAAAAAACTAGCAAAAAAGCAATATATATTTGCCTTTATAGAACTGGTTACAGTCATTTATTTGGAATATAAAATACTACTGGCAGTGTTCTATATAATGACATCAGTTCAGTTCAGTTGCTCAGTCATGTCTGACTCTTTGTGACTCCATGAACTGCAGCACGCCAGGCCTCCCTGTCCATCACCAACTCCCAGAGTCTACCCAAACCCATGTCTATTGAGTTGGTAATGCCATCCAACCATTTCATCCTCTGTTGTCCCATTCTCCTCCTGCCCTCAATCTTTCCCAGCATCAGGGTCTTTTCAAATGAGTCAGCTCTTCGCATCAGGTGGTCAAAGTATTGGAGTTTCAGCTTCAACATCAGTCCTTCCAATGAACACCCAGGACTGATCTCCTTTAGGATGGACTGGTTGGATCTCCTTGCAGTCCAACGGACTCTCAAGAGTCTTCTCCAACCACACAGTTCAAAAGCATCAGTTCTTCGGTGCTCAGCTTTCTTTATAGTCCAACACTCACATCCACACATGACTACTGGAAAAACCATAGCTTTGACTAGATGGGCCTTTGATGACAAAGTAATGTCTCTGCTTTTTAATATGCTCTCTATGTTGGTCATAACTTTCCTTCCAAGGAGTAAGTGTCTTTTAATTTCATGGCTGCAGTCACCATCTGCAGTGATTTTGGAGCTCCCAAAAATAAAGTCAGCCACTGTTTCCACTGTTTCCCCATCTATTTGCCATAATGATATAGTGACTATATTAATTCAATTAATGAACATGGAAAAAATTACAGAAAAAGGAATTACTTTACTCACTTTCTTGTTAAACATATATTTGCCCAAACTGCAAGGGCCTGAATGTTGAATGAGAGTTGGGTCCTCATATTTGTCACTTGAGAACTGTAAAAGACAATTTAATTTATTATTGGCAGAAAACAAATTTGCTAGTTCTAAATAAAGCATTCTTTACAGACTATGCAGTAAAACTGATTATGCAGTAAAACTGATTATGCAGTAAATAATTTTAAGCCTGGGAGTCAGATTTTAAAATTATTTTGTGTTCTTTTAAATTTGGGAGCAAAAGTACAAGAAAGAGCTAAACATTTCTAAGATGTTTTTCAGTTGTAACACTGAATTACCAACTTATACTATTTGAGCTAAGAACAGATAATTATTTGGTATTTTTGATATTGGTATACTATACTGATATTATACACCAATTTGTATCCCAGATTAGTTTGATAAGAAGTCATGTGAAACTGAAAACAAAAGTAATTCAAAAAATTTTCTGGAGATCCAATCATGGAGAAAAAAGGAAAGAGAATTGATCTCCAACCATCCTTTTCTAGATTATCTCCTTCTTAAAAGTCTTCCTTGTTTTCTGTATTATTTGGTACAAAAAATGTTTAAGCAATCTCCAAGAAATGTATTTTCCCCTATAATTAAATTGTTTCATTAACTAATAAACATTTTCCAAGTATTATCTGAGTTTTCAAATAGCTCTAGCAATCTCCAATTTTTAATAAAAGATGACTCTAAACACTATCTCAAAGAACTTTCTTCTCCCTACTGGCAATTTTATTGGAAAAAAATGTAATGCCATAATTATAGAAACCACACAATGTGTATTTTACTAATGGAGACTCATCTACTATGAGAAGATAGCTTTACTCATTTTCAAATACACTTGAAAAATTGGTTCCAGCATGAGGCCCATTTCAAACCATCCTTCAAAAGGAATGAAGTCAGTCTCAAAATCAATTTGTAGAGATCTGTTGCTTAAATGTAAGCTTTAAAACATGGTCACTGCCTAGGGTTAGATTAAATAATTTCCAGTATGTAATCCAACAGGATTGCAATTTAAAGATATGCATGGAGAAAGAATGCAATTTGCTTGGCTGGAAAAGGGTAGATGATTAGGTTCTATCATATTCAAGAATTTTCTAGTAGGTTAATTATGAGCTGCCTTCCTAACACTCCTGTCTACCTGAAACAATTAAAGACTAGAAATTCTCTCCCTCAGAGAGTGCTAGGATTATTTCCCCATTCTACATATGATTTCATTGGAACAAACAGTGTGGGTGTGCATGGGCATCACTTTTATCAAGTCTTTTTGTCTGAGTATGTGACGTAACTGCTATTATTTCAATGTAAAGGAGACCTTTGAGTTCCTCCATAGATGATTTTTACATGCAGCTAAAGAAAATTAGAGATGTATGGTCTAGGATTACTCTTGAGGTGTCTCTGGAATTCATGTGGGGTTTGTTAAGACAAAATATATCAATGATCCTGAACGTGATGACAGTTTTGGAAGGTAGGTAGAAAACAGCAGGCCAGGAGTCTTGGCATGCAGAAAAGCCCCAAAGGAGAAGCCTACAGACACTGATAAAGTTGTCTTTATCTTTAAAAGGGGAACTGAGCTTCTTGCTACATTCTCCCCAACAGAAAAGAAAAAGGAGCCACAAGTCTTTATCAGACATAAACAGAAATATTTAAAGTCAATTGTAAGAATCTTAAAAGGTTGTACAAGAATAAATGGTGGCAGGGAGGTATTTTCAAGATATAGTATTAAATGAAAAACAGCAGGCTAACAAAACAGTGTATATTATGATTCCATTTTTAAAAACAAGCAAAAATATTAATAATATTGGAAGGATGTAGACAAGAATGTTAATGGATTAAGAACAGTAGTTATCTCTGCATGCTGGAATTATAGGTAATTTTAATTTTCTTGGTTTTCTTACCTGTATTTTCTAAATTTTCTATAACAATTATGCATCATTTATTTAGAGTAGAAAGAAAGTAATTTAGAACTTCCCTGGAGGCACAGAGGATAAGAATCTGCTTGCCAATGCAGGGGACACAGGTTTGATCCCTGGTCTGGGAAGATTTCCCACGTCTTGGAGCAACTAAGCCCAAGCACCACAACTACAGAGCCCAAGCTCTAGAGCCCACAAGTAGCAACTACTGAGCCCATGAGTTGCAACTACTGAAGCCTGTGCACCTAGAGCCTGTTTTCTGCAACAAGAGAAGCCAATGCAATGAAAAGCCCGTGCACCACAATGAAGAGTAGCCTTCACTCACTGAAACTAGAGAAAGCTCACACAAAGCAATGAACACTTAGCGTACTCAAAAAATTTAATGAAAGCAATTTAAAAAGAAAAGAACAAAGTATGGAAGGAAGCAAGAAAATTAGCAAATGAACAAGATAGAAATTGTGAGAACATGTGAGCTACCTCACATATAGATTTAAAATATTTTCCCCATATTTTTAAAAGTTTTCAAGTTGTCCTGTGAATTCCATATTAATACTGAGGAGATCACTTTAGTGTTAGGTAAACCTATTCATACTTAATTTTATATTGAAATACTGTAAGAATATTACAATATTGTTATAGATAATTTTCAGTTATCTTAATCCGCATAGGTTTTAAAGCAAATATTAACCCATTTTTCAAAGAAAACTGAGAGATAATATAGATGAAATATATTAAGCTGGTTCTAGTAAGGCTGGATGTTTAAAAATGTGTAAGTCAAAAACACAGCTTAAGGACAGCTTAAAGGAAGTATTAAAACATTAAATAAATTAATATTTGAAGAATTAAATGAATACTGTTGTTCAGTTATTCAGTTATGTCTGACTGTTTGTGACCCCACGGACTGTAGCACACCAGGCTTCCCTGTCCTTCACCAACTCCTGGAGTTTGCTCAAACTCATGTTCACTGAGTTGGTGATGCCATCCAACCATCTTATCCTCTTTTATCCCCTTCTCCTTCTGCCTTCAATCTTTCCCAGCATCAGGGTCTTTTCTAAATAGTAGGGTCTTTTCCAATGAGTTGGCTCTTTGCATCAGGTGGCCAAAGTATTTGAGTTTCAGCTTCAGCATCAATCCTTCCAATGAATATTCAGGACTGATTTCCTTTAGGATTGACTGGTTTGATCTCCTTGCAGTCTGAGGGACTGTTGAGTCTTTTCCAGCATCACAATTTAAAGTCATCAGTTCTTCAGTGTTCAGCCTTTTATGGTCCAACTCTCACATCCATACACGACTATTGGAAAACCATCAGTTCAGTTCAGTCGCTCATTCACATATGACTCTGTGATCCCATGCATTGCAGCTTGGATGCAATGCCAGGCTTCCCTGTCCATCACCAACTCCTGGAGCTTGCTCAAACTCATGTCCATCGAGTCAGTGATGCCATCCAACCATCTCAGCCTCTGTCATCCCCTTCTCCTCCTGCCTTCAATCTTTCCCAGCATCAGGCTCTTTTCAAATGAGTCAGTTCTTTGCATCGGGTGACCAAAGTATTGGAGCTTCAGCTTCAACATCAGTCCTTCCAATGAACACTAAGGACTGATCTCCTGTAGGATGGACTGGTTGGATCTCCTTGCAGTCCAAGGGACTCTCAAGAGTCTTCTCCAACACCACAGTTCAAAAGCATCAATTCTTTGGCGCTCAGCTTTCTTTATGATTCAACTCTCACATCCATACATGACTACTAGAAAAACCATAACTTTGACTAGACAGACCTTTGTCAGCAAAGTAATGTCTCTGCTTTTTAGTATTCTGTCTAGGTTGGTTATAGCTTTTCTTCTAAGGAGTAAGCATCTTCTAATTTCACGGCTGCAGTCACCAAATGCAGTGGTTTTGGAGCCCCCCAAAATAAAGTCTCTCACTGTTTCCATTGTTTCCCCATCTATTTGCCATGAAGTGATGGGACTAGATGCCATGATCTCAGTTTTTTTAGTTAGCTTTTTTAATGTTGAGTTTTAAGTCAGTTTTTTCACTTTCCTCTTTCACTTTCATCAAGAGGCTCTTTTGTTCTTTGCTTTCTGCCATAAGGGTGGTGTCATCTGAGTATCTGAGGTTATTGATATTTCTCCCATCAATCTTGATTCCAGCTTGTGCTTCGTCCAGCCCAGCATTTCACATGATGTACTCTGCATATAAATTAAATAAGCAGGGTGACAATATACAGCCTTGATGTACTCCTTTCCCAGTTTGGAACCAGTCTGTTTTTCAATGTCTAGTTCTAACTGTTGCTCCTTGACCTGCACACAGATATCTCAGGAGGCAGGTCAGGTGTCTGGTAATTCCATCTCTTTCAGAATTTTCCAGAGTTTACTGTGATCCACACAGTCAAAGGCTCTGGCATAGTCAATAAAGCAGAAATAGATGTTTTTCTGGAACTCTCTTGCTTTTTCTATGATCCAGGGGATGTTGGCAATTTGATCTCTGGTTCCTCTGTCTTTTCTAAATCCAGCTTGAATATCTGGAAATTCACAGTTCATGTACTGTTGAAGCCTGGCTTGAAGAATTTTGAGCATTACTTTGCTAGCGTGTGAGATGAGCGCAATTGTGTGGTGGTTTGAACATACTTTGGCATTGTTTTTCTTTGGGATTGGAATGAAAACTGACCTTTTCCAGTCCTGTGGCCACTGCTGAGTTTTCCAAATTTGCTGGTAACATGAGTGCAGCATTTTAACAGCATCATCTTTTAGGATTTGAAACAGCTCCACTCTAATTCCATCACCTCCACGAATTTTGTTTATAGTGATGCTTCTTAAGGCCAAGTTGACTTTGCATTCAAGAATGTCTGGCTCTAAGTGAGTGATCACACCATCGTGGTTATCTGGGTCTTGAAGAACTTTTTTGTATAGTTCTTCTGTGTATTCTTGCCACCTCTTCTTAATATCTTCTGCCTCTGTTAGGTCCCTACCGTTTCTGTCCTTTATTGTGCCTATTATTGCATGAAATAAAAACAATAGTTTTGGCTAGATGGACTTTTCTAGGCAAAAGCAAAGTAGTGTCTGTGCTTTTTAATATGCTGTCTAGGTTTGTTATTGCTTTTCTTCCAAGGAGCAAGTGTCTTTTAATTTCATGGCTGCAGTCACTGTCCACAGTGATTTTGGAGCCCAAGAAAATAGTCTCTCATTGCTCCCATTGTTTCCCCATCTATTTGCCATGAAGTGATGACTGGATGCCATGATATTTGTTTTCTGAATGTTGAGTTTTAAGCCAGCTTTTTCACCTTCATCAAGAGGCTCTTTAATTCCTCTTTGCTTTCTGTCATAAGGGTGGTATCATCTGCATATCTGATGTTATTGCTATTTCTCCCCTCAATATAGTTCAAACCAAAATAACAAGAAAATGATTGTTTAAATTGTGCTAAATACAATGTTCTAAAATGTCTCCAAAAGCAAGAAGATATAAACAAAGAAAAAGTTATTTATAAAGCCACAATATATTGGGTAATTTTGTATGCAACTGAAAGTTGTAAAAATTTTCATTTTATAGATTCTATTTAGTCTCCTAATAGTCTTGTTCACTGGTGTATTTAGTGCTCATTTCAAGCTTTATGTTATTGATGGGATGCTAGAATATTTGACATTATACGCAAAAACTGTTAACCACAGAGTACATTCTCAGATGTACTCCTTCACAAAGAGATAAACTCAGAAATCCCTAAGATCATTTAAAGGAACTAATATGGAGTTCATTTAAAAATAGTTTAAAATATTTCATACTCACAGCAATATTTCAGACATACTGGATCCTATTTCAGATTTGGCCTGAACATAAAAGAGAAAAGTTTATTTGTACAAGTGTTAAACTGAAACTTGGAAGGCTATTGTATTTTAACTACCCTGATTTAAAAGATACATGTTTTAAATATATGATGCAACTCCTCTTCATTCAAAGTGTTTATTTCAGAGTCTTATTGGATTTTTTAAGAGAAGTCAGTGAACACTAAACACAGACATCCCTTAGGAATCATTTCAGAAATAATAACTGGCTAAAAATCAGTTAAACTCTTCCAGCAGGAATGATTAACACATTAATGAATTAACAGACTTTACACTTTCATTACAAAGTCTCTTTAAGCTCTTTTTTGGGCACTTTGATTAGAGCTCATTATCACCTGCCTATAATTTCACAATTATGTGTGAATTATACACGTTTTCAAATCTGCAATGGCCCTCAAGCGATATTTCAATGGAATAACCAATGTAAGTAAACCAGAGTATAAATTTAAAGCACCAAACCTTCTCAGTCAAAGAATAATAACTATCCTTTTATTAAATGATTTTATTAGGAAATATCTCATATATAAAAACATATAATCTATATTTAGGTGATAAAGAGTTTTAAAAAAAATCTATAGACTCACCATTTACTGAAGAAATAGAACTGCACAACTACTATATTTCACAGAGCCCTCGAAAGGGGCTTTCTTATCCCCTAGTGGTAACTATTACCTTGAACTCTGTGTTAGTTATTACCCTATGTTCTAAAACTATATAGTTTTACTACCTTTTATGTATTATTGAGTAACAGATTATTAGTTTTTGCATGGTTTAAAATTTTGTATAAATGGTATTCTTTAATATTGTAGTCATCTGAGATTTGCCTAATTCAAGTAAGACACAAAAAGCACAAATCATGAAAGAATAATCAGATATAACTGCCTATTTAAAAATAAAAACCCATCTGTATATCCTTTCACTTTTCAATAACCATTACTCACAAGCACATTTAGTGTTTTACCCTAAACTATGTCTTAGGGAAAGCAAAGTCTTTTGAAATTCTCTGGAACATACTGTTTCCATTGAGTGAGATCATATTTTATGAAGCATTAACATATTTAGGTCTCCCACTAAATACTAGCATTAATACTGTTCATCAAATATTTGAAAAAGAAAGAAAGAAATATTTTGGTCAAGGTATATTAAAATTTCTGAAGTGTTTTACCTCTAATTGTTTCCAAATATTTTTAATCATAGACCAAGGGCCCAAAATAATACCCTATGATAAAAAGATTGAAAAGCTTCAGCTCCTGGGAGCAGAGTCTTTTGACTGCTTATTATCTTGAAAAATATATTCAGGATACACAAAAGGATGATGTCAGATTAAGTGATTCAGTTTTTTTGAACTCATGTGAAAGGCTACATTTCAAGGGGCAAGTCTGCTAGATAAATAACGAAAGAAAATTCCACATGTGGTCATTGATAAACACTGGTTTTTTTCCCCACTCATGGTCCAGGCAGAACACTGAAGTTTTGCCACTTATTTCCTTAAAAGTGTTTGAAATATAAATTTACCAGACTGAATGTTCCATATTCTTCCCTGAGAAAATGTGTCAAAAATCCTAGCAATGTTGTCTGGTCTCCCCAGGTCCAACGAGCTTGATTGAGGTAGGATGAGACAGGCAGGTAGATATAGGGCAGCAGACCAGCAGAGAAGCACAGACTCAACTTCAACAGGGAGCCTGGGGAGAGTTCCTGCATTAGAGTACACGGAGTCACATGTATCACAATGTTTATTTTAGTCAGATTCATCCTGGAACTTCAAGAACATATCAAGGAAAACATCAAATATGTTTACTCAGAGCTGATCTCTCAATTTATATCAAGTCACCATGAAAGATGATGTTAAACCTTCTGATTACTGTGGATTACCAGGAAATTGCATCAGCCTGAACTCCTTTGCAAGTGAAATCTGAGTGAAGCAAATAATATTAGCAAAGACATGATTTTCATGTTTATTGCATCCTCTACATTTAAAACCATGTCATGACATGCAGCATTGCACAGCTGAGACTACCCACTTGGAAGTGATTACAGTGTTGATTATGGTGTTTGACTGTTTTCAAAACTGCCCAAGATACTGTTCTAATACTGATTCACTTCATTATCATCATCAGGAGTAGGCTTTAACTATATACTATATTATGACTGCACATTAATAATATATTCTTTCTTGTAGAAATCCCTTGTAGGGTTTTGAACATTTCATGGAAATCCTTAGCACATATGAAGGTAGTTTTTAAGTAACACTCAAGTTTAGAAGGAAATGTGTTGTTGTATGCAACAATCTTGCCTCAAACAGAATATATTTCTCATCTGCAAGTTTCTTCTTTGCTTTTTTCTTTTTTGGCCATGTCATGTGGCATGTTATTTTAGTTCCCCCACCAAGGATCGAGCCTTGAAGTAATTGAAGCATGGAGTTTTAACCACTGTACTGCCAGGGAAGTCCTGCTTCTGCACATTTCTAAAGCCAAGGGAAACTCTGCCAAATTTTTACAAAGATTGAGCCCAAAAGAATTCTATGGTTGTTTTAGTAATTGGAAATGTCATCTCTTACAAATATTGTGATTGGAAATTGCCAATTTTTTCTTTACGAAAAAGGGAAATTCATAGGTGACAATGAATATGAGAACCAAGATTTGCATTCACCAGAAGTAGAAAAGTAGTTGACTTACACTGGCATTTTCAAATAAACATTCTTAGTTTAAAATGGAGTGTTTTTATTACAGTACTGATTTTGTTTGACATTTCTAAAGTGGTAATGAGATTCATAAAAAATGATGGGATGAAAAAATGGAAGAAATAACTAATTGAAGAATATGCCTTTGCTATTCTTAAAAGTAGCTTTAAAGAAAGTAAATGTTTAGATTTTAGCAGATTTTGCACACTATAAAGTTCAGTTTAGAATGGCAAGACACAGTTGCTGCAGAATTTTCCTTCTGTGTGGGACATAGAGAAATAAACACAGAACTATTTCAGAGAGTGCAGGAGAGTGGCTCTGAGTCCTAGCTGCATGCACACTGGAGTCACCTGGGGAACTTTTAAAACTATCATTCCCAGGGCCTCACACCCAAACAAATAAATCAGAATTATGTTAGGGTAGTGAGAGCACACAAAGGCACACACACACACAAACACCTACTTACTTTCTTAAATCTTTCCAGATAATTTAAGTGAGCAGTTGGGGTTGCAACCAACTAATTTCCTTCTCTGCCTTAGATCACCTGAGCAGTCAGATCCAATTCCCTATCACTTCACTGGTAGATCTTATTTTCTAGACTCTGCTCTTTAAAAAATAAAAATAAAAGGTGCTTTGAAGAGTCACACTTTCCCAAGTTTCATCATTCATCAGAAGTTGATCTAAGTACAGGGTAAACAGGCTCTAAGACCAGGTTCCTAACTTGTCAGCTCTGGGTCTTGTATGTTTTACATGAGAATATGGCTCTCCCTTCAAAGACTTAAAACAAAAGATCTGCTTTTTAAGTTCATGCCAGAGAATGTATGTGATATCTAGCCGCACCTTCTCTGATATCAGAAGGCTGGCTAAGAGTGATGCCATCAAGATGGCAACATAAGTAATCCCAACTTAAGTCGTTCCCACAAAACACCATCAACAACTACCTGTAGACAAGATACTGTTGTGAAAATCCTAGACACTGGTTGAGGCTGAAGTCCTGGACCACACAGACTGAGAAGGACTGCACTCGAGGTTTTGAGGGGCACTCTGACCATATCACTCCTCCCCTAGGCCAGCACAGCGCTGCATCAGAGGACTCCCCTTGGGGTACACTTTTTCCAGTGGGAAGAGAGACCCCAGGGTGGAAATCCAGATCCCCAGGCAGTGCAGGATGCTCCCCAGGAGACTCACTCAGTTCTCACTCGCAGGGGCCACAGTGGCGGGGTGAGGGGGAGTGGATCTTTGGGGCTCAACCACTGGGGATCAGACAGACATGGAGAAGGGAAGCAGGGCTTACAGTGACCAGTCTCCAGTCTTGGGAGAACACATTCCTGCTTGCAGCGGTGCCAGAGCAGAGGTTTCAGCCAGCAGTTCTGCGCATCTACAGAGCCGAGCCAGTGGCTGATCCTACTCTAAAATAATTTTGATTTAACTGATGTGAGGCATATATTAACATGATGAAAGTCACATATGACAAGGCCACAGCTAACATAATACTCAATGGTGACAGACTGAACGCTTCTCCTCTGAGATCAGGAATAAGACAAGGGTGCCCACTCTCACCTCTTACCTTCAACATAGTACTGGAAGTTCCATTCAGGGTAATTAGGCCAAAAAAAAGAAATAAAAGGAATCCAAACTAGAAAGGAAGTGAAACTGTCTCTGCAAATGACATGATCTTAAATAGGAAATCCTGAAGATTCTATCAAAAAGCTGTAAAACCTAATAAATTTAGGAACATTACAGGATACAAAATTAGTTGTATTTCTATATACTAACAATGAACTATCTGAAAAAAAAACTATTTCTTTTACAATAGCATAGCATCAAATATGATAGTTTAGGAATAAATTTAACTAAGGAGGTATTATTGAAATATCTGTATCCTGAAAACTATAAGACATTGATGAAAGAAACTTAAGAAGACACATATGAAAAGATATCTCACGTTCATGGATTAAAATAATTAATATTGTTAAAATGTTCATACTACCCAAAGCCGTTTATCGATTTAATAATACCCCTATCAAGCCTTGTATGAAACTAATAAATAAATAAATCCCATGTTTTCTGATGCCATAAATGTCATATTGGGCATTTTTACTGAAAAACCTACCTTCTCTTTTAAAAGTCGAAAGAGAATCCATGGTATTATGCACAAAACATAGAGTACTATGGTGTGCTGATTACATAAGCTAAGGCCACAGCAGAAAGCACCAATTTTAGCTATCTGAAAAATAATAAAAGAAAATAATCCAAATTAAAAATTCACCAAAAACTAAGAAAGCACAATAGTAAAAAGCTATTCTTTCTATTAAAACTAAGCACTTATACAGTAAACCAGTTTAACATCAACCTTTTAATGTAAACAATCATGTTTAATACTCACTAATATTTATCACCATTATTTTATTAATATTTTTCATTCTTATCAAATTACTGCAGGCTGATCTTTTTTTTTTCATTTATTTTTATTAGTTGGAGGCTAATTACTTTACAATATTGTAGTAGTTTTTGTCATACATTGACATGAATCAGCCACGGATTTACATGTAGATCTTAAATTACTGTCTTCAAACTAGGTTTCAGGAAGTCCTATATGATGACAAGTTCTAACAGTAATAAGACATAGTATAGTTCAAGTGAAATCTAGAACTAAAGTTCAGCAATTCTTTGTTTTACATTTTCTTCTATTAAATTAATTAAATATAACACTTTTATTTAGAAACCTGGTTCCCTATGGGTGGTCTTTTTGCTACTTCTGAACATGTGTTATTTTCATAATCATAACAAGGTTTATTTTAAACAAAAAAATAAACTCTAATATCACCACAGGTTTGTTTATGGAAACCACAGATAAACCTTGATGTTCTTTTGTTTCTAAATTCTTTAATGACACAGGTTGCCCATATATTAAGATAATCCGGCACTCTTCAATGTGTAGATGGTAAGCCCTTAGAAGACAGGATTACTCCACACTGCAAATTATTTTGATGATAGAGGTGGCTTTAGAAGTCATTGCAATCTCTTCAGAACTACTATTACTTTCCTTTTAGTTAAAAAAAAGTACAAATTATTTGATCTTTTGTGAAATTAGAGAATAAGCCAATGCACCGTAATGGTAAATAATTTAAGGTGGTCAACCTAGAGCTTGTCATCTTAAGATCACACACACACACACACACACACACACACACACAAACAGTGGATTAGCTAACAAGCCTTTCTTTCCAATAAGACTCAAAGGGGATTTCATAACACCCTCATTCTCCAAAAAACTTTTGAACTCTGAGACGGAAAAAAAATTTTCATGTTTCATAAAGGCTCTCAGTTCACAGTAAAAAAACTGAGAGTGTTTTGAGAGTTTTTTCTCTCAACAAGCTAAGATTACCTTGACAGTAATCAGAATAGATAAACAGTATCTATACGAAAGTTAAAAAGAAATAGAGCATCTGTCTAAAATTAAAACAAAAAGTGATTTCACTTTGATCAAAACAGGTTACCTTTGATCTTTCTTGAGCAGTTGCTGCCTCCTCAAAATGTACAGTAAGAGCCATAAGCAGGCCCACAAACAGATTGTTTAAGCTAAAAACCTCTGCTGCAATGGACCACTGCCATGTTAGACGAGAAAATGAAAACACCCCCGCAGCAAGGATTCCTCCAGCATATGAGCCAGAAAGCCTGCAAATACAGATAACATGAAATCTTCTTTCCCAACAAAAAGAACTGACTTTATTTTCCTTTTTACAAACTGTAGCAGCAGAAATTATGACAGCCGCCCAGCACTATCCCAACACATTAGATGGTTAGTACATTACTTCGTGTAATAATTCCTTTCAACAGATTTTAATTACAAAGTCCATATATTAACCTATTAAGAAACAAATGAACAAACCTGCTTGGTATCTTATGAACTGAATGAGGTTTAGTTCTCCGATGTACTCTTTAGGATTCAAGCTATTTCAGAAAGCCTGAAGAGACAGAAACTACAAAGATAACAAACCTGTGCCATTTTTCTTGCTATATCTAAGAAGAAAAACGATCATGACTGATTAAGACTGAAAAATTAATGAAATGGCAGAGTATCTGTTTGGTAGAAACAGACTTACAGACTTAGGAGATGAACTTATGGTTACCAGTGAGGAAGGGACAGAGTAGAGGGACAGTTATGGAGTTTCGGATGGACATGTACACACTGCTAAATTAAAAATGGATAACCAACAAGGACCTACTGTATAGCACAGGGAACTCTGCTCAATGTTATGTATCAGCCTGGATGGGAGGGGAGCCGGGAGGAGAATGGATACACTTATGTGTATGGCTGAGTCCCTTCGCTGCTCACCTGAAACTATCAAAATATCACAGCATTGTTAATCAGCTATATCTTAATACAAAATAAAAAGCTTTTAAAAAATAAATAAAAGGGAAAAAAAGGAATAGCTGTTCAGGAACTCTCACTCTCACTCCTTGTGGCATGTTTGGATTTAGGTACTTTCTACATCTATCTCCCAACATATGGCAAAGTATATCTTGGTCATAATATTTGGTGATTTTAAGACCTTGTAAGCTAAATTCTTAGTTTCTAATGATTTCTTCTTTACACAAAGTCAAAGTTAAAAATGATATTTTTTTTTTTAAAGAGAAGGGTGGGAGTGTGAATTTTAGTAACACAGAAGAATCAAATGCTACACTTGGAAACAAATTCCACATTCCCAATGCCAACGAAAGCCCATATTTCAAATTAATTGAGGAATCTGGATCTCAATTTAGAGATATGACTTGAGAGGTCAAATCATAGGTCATTACTTTTTAGCTATATTGTTTTATATAAAAATTATAGAGTAATTGTGTAGCTTTTAATCAAACTTAGTAGGAAAAAAGCTAACAATTTTCAATATCACCAAACCTGGTTTTCTTTGAATTTCTCTCAATTTAGAGATATGACTTGAGAGGTCAAATCATAGGTCATTACTTTTTAGTTATATTGTTCTATATAAAAATTATAGAGTAATTGTATAGCTTTAAATCAAACTTAGTAGGAAAAAAAGCTAACAATTTTCAATATCACCAAACCTGGTTTTCTTTGAATTTCTCTTCACAATTTTCCTGTTCTCCTTCCCTTATAAAAATCATCAGTTTCCTGTTTCTTGCAGAATACTCCATTCTCCCAGTTTTCCTGATTCAATAACCTAAAGTTATTTCTTCCTTCCAAATTCATTTCCAGATTCCTTTCCATTTGTATTCCTATTGCCTTATATTCAAAGTAATAGTTTCCTAACTTGCCTTACATTTTTCTAATTCTTCTGCAATATAACATCAGACTAAACTTTCTAAAGCATACTCTTTGTGAATACTCTTTATTCCTACAGGATGAATTAGAATCAACCTGGAATCCAGGCTCCCAATAAAGTGGGCCCCCTAGACACTAATTACCAACATGAACTCACACCAAGTAGTCAAGCTCCTTAAAATTCCCTAGTAAGACTTGCCTATTCCTAGCTCCAGTGAACACCCAGGACTGATCTCCTTTAGGATGGACTGGATGGATCTCCTTGCAGTCCAAGGGACTCTCAAGAGTCTTCTCCAACACCACAGTTCAAAAGCATCAATTCTTTGGCGCTCAGCTTTCTTTATTGTTCAACTCTCACATCCATACATGACCAATGGAAAAACCATACCATTGACTAGACGGACCTTTGTTGGCAAAACAATGTCTTTGCTTTTTAATATGCTGTCTAGGTTGGTCATAATTTTCCTTCCAAGGAGTAAGCATCTTTTAATTTCATGGCTGCAATCACCATCTGCAGTGATTTTGGAACCCAGAAAAATAAAGTTTGATACTGTTTCCACTGCTTCCCTATCTATTTCCCATGAAGTGATGGGACCAGATGCCATGATCTTAG